TAAAAGAAAAAAAAAAATCATCCCGATATAAGTTTAGGATTTTTACCTTCAGAACAGTTCCGTTGAATGTTCGCTACGTAATTGGGACTACGGTGGGGTAGGAAATAGTAGATATACATTATGCATTAGGAAATACAGTGAAATGGACACAAATCATATCTATAATAAGATTGGAGTTAAAGTGAAGTGGATAAGGATCAAAGTCTATTTCTGTTTTATTTTTTCCTCCATTAAAAAAAAAAAAAAATCTAATATGACATTTTATTGAAATAGTGATACAAGCATGAGAATATTTTCTTCTTCCTTATCCCCGTCCATTCTTACTTTTCTCTCCTCTCTCTTCTTAATTTGTTGCTATTATTATCTAACTATTTATCTATTGTTATTATCACTATGATCATCATTATTATTATTTGTCAATCAATATTATTGTTATTATTACTACTACTATTATTATCATAATTATCATTACCATCATAATAATTATCATTATTATCATTATTATTATCATTTGTCTTCTTAGGAATGACTTTTCCGGTTGCTCACACCATACAATTTTTGGTTGATGCATTCCATTTTATTATTATTATTATTTTTATTCTTCATTTTGTTTTATTATCTAATTGTTTATTTACTATTGATCGAGTGAAAGAAAGGGCATGATACTGAGTCAGATACCTTTATCTTGTCCTCCCTCCTATAATCCTCGTTGACTAATAACACATTGCTCGTAAATAATTATATTGCAAGATATACTTTGATATGTACTGTATTTTGAATCATAGAAGAATGGACAACTTTTCAAGCTAACCTCTGCTATTACCTATGTTTTCTCATTCTTTGTTTACACTGATCAGATAAATAAACAAAATGTATGAATGGTATTTTATTGGTCTACTTTGCAGTAACGTATGTATTCAGTAGCGCATCATGGTGATGTTTAAATACACAAGTATCCCGAAAAGAATTCCATTTGTTTTTCCTTTGTCTTCTCTCTCTTTTTCATCGCCCTTCTTCCTTCTCTGTGTTTATCGCTCTCCTCCTTCTCCTTCTTCCTCCCCAAAGGCTCCCTGGTTGCCGTCCGCCGCCATCCCGTCGTGGTTCACGGGCACGGCGTTCGACTCCAGCACCCGGTAGCCGTCCTCGTCGGCCACGTACTGGACGTGGAACTCCTCGCCTTCGGGGGACGTCCAACTGTGTGGAGAATCATAAATGGTAAAACGTTGGTTTTTAAGTAGGTCTACTTCTTCATAAACCGTATTCATGCAGCCAAATGTAGAAAGGTATGAATGAGAACGAATATCTTCACAATACACAAAATTTCTGACGAAGATCTATTCGAAGCCGGTCAAATACATCTCTTGTATTGTGAAGATATTCATTCTCATTCATCCTTTCTACATCTACTTCTTCATGTTTATCAAGATGATTTCACTAGATAATTGGAGTCAATATCGTTACCTACGAGGAGCTTGAAATATTTTTTCTCCGAACATTATGATCAAAACTACATTCTTAGAACTGTAAAACGAGCATTAAATCTTTCGTATTTAAAAGCCTCTCAAAAATGGCATCCTTCTGACCTGTAAGACCCTTCCACGTGCTCCCCGGCGTCTCCCTCCTGCTGGTGCTGGTGATCCTCGCCCTCGAAGTCCAGGACGTCTGGCCGAGCCGACGCCAGGACTGCCACGGCCAGGACTGCGAGCGCCACCTGGGAGAGGATGTTGTTGGGTTAGTACGCTTCATGTCATAATAATGTATAGATTGTTTGGTTTGCTGTTTATCTTTATGTCAACACGTGGCGGATTTGATGTGGGATAGGAATGGCAATGGGGATGAATAGCATGATGACATATAGGCCGTAGTGACAAAATTGATGATGACTTTAATGGAAATAACGAATCAAAATGATAATACTGTCATAATTATAGTGACGATCATAATGATAAAATATAAAATCATGATAATGATGATGCAACGGTGATAATCAAAGTGAAAATGAGGACTAATATCAGTTAAGAAGGCCACCAACATTGATAATAAAAAAAAAATATACAACAAAGCACCGACACGCACCACAAACTTCATCTTAAGCCCGATTCTTCTGAGCAAAACCGACAATGAGATCCCAACAGCAGACCTTTCCCGTACGAGGCAAAAGGCCGCTCTGACGGATCCCAGAAGCGCCGGTTCTTTTATAGGCGAAGCAAGTAAGTCTCCGCTCGACACACTACGATTGACTGACCTCCTCGTCCTTGCTTCGTTGACCAGGGAAGGTCAAGGGCAGACTGCGAAAGAGAGAAAATGCTGCTTATTTCAGGGCACATATGGTCGATATTACAAAGGAAGAATGAAAGGAACATTGTGCTATTGATTGTAGGGCAAGATGCATATGCCTATTCACTGATTCCAAAGAGTAATGAGACTAGTATTTGCTAATATTAATACTAACTATGTATGTGTATGTACATATAGGCCTATGTGTGTGTGTGTGATATATTCATTAACGTATATATATGCACATACATACATGTATATATGTATATATATATATATATATATATATATATATATATATATATATATATATATATATATATATATATATATATATATATATACATATATATATATATATATATATATATATATATATATATATATATATATACACATATATACATATACACATAATATATGTGTTTATATATATATATATATATATATATATATATATATATTATATTATATACATATATATATACATATACATATATATATATATATATATATATATATATATATATATATATATATATATATATATATATGCATGTATATATGTGTGTGGTGTGTGTGTTTGTGTGTGTGTGTGTGCGCGCGTGTGTGTGTGTACATATATATATATACGTTATTGATTCGATATTTAAATAATTCATCAGTTTTAAGTGTAAAGATGTCTGGGTCACGTAGAACTGCTAGAGCCAACTGAAGCGTTTCATTACATATTTCCATTTTGAAGGTATATCAGTATATCAAAATCTGGTGCCATAATTATTAGAGTAAAGTATAATGATTCTTAAGGAATGGTTGTTTTTTATTGTTAACAGTTCAATGGGGGAAAGTAATACGCAGTTTCGTCATCGCATATTATCAACTACGTGAAGTGCTGGCATTGAAAATCTTTTTTACTCGGAAACTGAAGGTTGCATTGCTCAATAACTGATTTAATATAGTTTTTGAATCCATATGTATTGAATTTATGGTAACCCTTACTCTCCTCCCGCACGCAGAGATTCGCCAGTCAGTGAATGTATGTATTATTATTTTTTTATTATTATTATGTTTTTTGAGGTGTTGATACAACGGAATTAGCCAAAGGAGACAATTCGGATTGTGCCAAGGAATGAATGAATTGAAGTGTAGGAAAATTGCGGAAGTTAGAGAGGAATGAATCGATAACTCATTCGTCCAAGTAGTAATGGAAAGCTACAGGAGAAATTTGAGATCCCTTCTTCACTTTATTCTTATTATATTCATTTTACTGATTATCTTTTTTACATAACGAGCAGGCAAAGGAAGCCTTTGACTTGAATTGATGCAATACTACTTTATTTTGCTTATAATTCATATTGCTAATATTCAAGATTATAATGCCACTTTATTATTATTTGTTTGTAAAATAAAAAGAAATTGGTTAAATATGTTAATGACTTTTGTATTGCCAGCACACACTCAACAGAAATAAATTTGATCCACCCCACGAGCTCTAAGACCGTAGTCCTGTTACCTACATTCAAAATCAAGTATGTAAAAATAGAGTTTACTCGGGGTTTCATTCAAATTTGAAACCCTGGTTGTGGTTGGCATTACCAAAGTCACATTGGCATTTGCATTAGAATTAATCTAGATAAACTGGCGACATAATTTTATTAAGGATATATTTTATTAGGTATATGGAAAATTTGTCATGCATCATATATATGCATATATATGTATATATAAGAATGTAAGTACACACATATATATATTATATATATATATATATATATATATATATATATATATATATATATATATATATTTGTGTATGGGCGTGAGTGTCTGTGTTTGTGTGTATCCACCAGATTAATGTTTGTAATTATGCTTTCCTTTGGAAAATACATTGCCATATTTTGCAAGACATGTCATTCTACATTTTTAAATAGATAATCATAAAACGAACCATTGGGTATAAAGCAGTTTCTATTGTTAAAAATTACCGCCCCCTCTTTCTCCTCACACAAACCATTCAAAACTATTAGACTGACTCAGGTATATCAATTGCAAATTTATAACTTCACGAATGCGTTACGATATACAGTAAGTTTTAGATCAGCAGTAATTACACCTAGAAATTAGATATCGTAGCGGTGAATTTAACAACGAATTGTACTTCTGTGTTGGTACGTCACCATACCAACACAGCAGTGTGATTTGTCGTTCATAAAATAGACATATTCAACAGATCATTAGAACAGCCATGATAGACTTGGTGTGGCCTTCTCACTGACAGAAATAGAATGGCGATGTCTTTCTTTTAAGTTATTCAGGTGCATTTTCATTATTATGAAAATTATTTATTTATCTACGTCTATAAGAATACGATTACTTTAGATAAAATCGCCCCTGGAAAATCATGACATATTCATGTGAATCCTATCTTGGAAGTATGGAAATGCACCTCAGTTTAGTTTAAATAACGCGTGATATAAATACATCGAAAGGTACCTTGAAAATAACGTTGAAAACAAGATTTCTTATAAGCTAAACCCTAACCCTAAAAAAGTACATTGTTTCTCTCTTTCCTTCTTTTTCTCTCCCTCCTTTGCCCTTATCTACCCACGTCGACGAGGCAAGGACGAAGAGGTCAGTCAATCGTAGTGTGTCGAGCGGAGACTTACTTGCTTCGCCTATAAAAGAACCGGCGTTTTTGGGATCCGTCAGAGCGGTCTTTTGCCTCGTACGGGAAAGGTCTACTGTTGGGATCTCATTGGTATTGCTTAAAAGAATTGGCCTCATGATGAAGTTTGTGGTGTGTGCCGTTATTTTGTGTTCATCGTGATCATCATCGTTATTATTATCATTAGTATTATTGTCATTACCATTATAATCATTGTCATCATAATTAATTTCATCATCAACAACAAGAGCATTAAGATCCGAATCATTATTCCCATTATCATTATTAATTCATCTGTATTCGATAGTTTTACTATGGTTATAATCAATATTCTATTTGCAATTTATATATCATTTTGGTATTCATTGTCATTTAACATTCCACATAAAAAGTATAGAAACAAACTAATCCAACAACATCCTCTCCCAGGTGGCGCTCGCAGTCCTGGCCGTGGCAGTCCTGGCGTCGGCTCGGCCAGACGTCCTGGACTTCGAGGGCGAGGATCACCAGCACCAGCAGGAGGGAGACGCCGGGGAGCACGTGGAAGGGTCTTACAGGTCAGAAGGATGCCATTTTCGAGAGAGGCTTAAAAAATACGAAAGATTTAATCCTCGTTTTAGAGTTCTAAGAATGAAGCTTTGATCATAATGGGAGAAATGATACTCTAAATGTCTCGTAGGCAACGATACTGACTCCAATTATCTAGTGAAATCATCTTGATAAACTTGAAGAAGTAGACCTGATAACAAACCAACGTTTCGCTATCTCCATATCCTCCAACAGCTGGACGTCCCCCGAAGGCGAGGAGTTCCACGTCCAGTACGTGGCCGACGAGGACGGCTACCGGGTGCTGGAGTCGAACGCCGTGCCCGTGAACCACGACGGGATGGCGGCGGACGGCAACCAGGGAGCCTTTGGCGAGGAAGAAGGAGAAGGAGGAGAACGATAATCACCGAAAAGGGAGAAGGGCGAAAAAAAATGCAGAGAAAGGGGGAAAACGGAGAGAGAAAAAGGAAAAATATATGGAATTCTTTTCGTGATACTTTCGCCAGTGAAGAGATACGTTACTGCTATGTAAACCACTGTGTCAATAAAACACCTTTCATACATTTTGTTTATTTAACTGATCCATGTAAAAAGAATGGGAAAACATAGGTAGCAGGAGAGGTAAGCTTTAAAAGTTGTCCATTCTTCTATGATTCAAAGTACAGTATATATCAAACTATATCTTGCAATATAATAATTTACGAGCAGTGTTATTAATCAACGAGGATTATGCAAGGGAGGACAAGGCAAAGGTCCTTTCTTTCACTCGATCAATAGTAAATAAACAATTAGATAATAAGACAAAATGAAGAATAAAAAATAGAATGCATCAACTAAAAATTGGAAGGTGTGAGCAACCGGAACCAAAAGTCATTCCTCAGAAGACAAATAATAATAATAATGATAATAATGATAATGATTATGAGTGTAATGATAATTATGATAATAATAGTAGTAGTAATAATAATAATGATGATAATAATAATGATAATAATAATAATAATAATAATAATAATAATAATAATAATAATAGATAATGATATAATGATAATAATAATAATAATAATAATTGATAAATAATTATAAAAATGATAATAATAACAATAATAATAATGATAAGGATAATAACAATAAATAAATAGATAATGATAGCAACAGAGTAAGCATATCAGTCATCTGTTATGAATGTTAATCATCCCTTAAAGAAGAGAGAAGAGAGAAAAATAAGCATGGGCGGGGATAAGGAAGAAGAAAATAGTCTCGTGCTTGTATCACTATATCAGTAAAATGTCAAAATGTCATAATAGGTGAAGGAGGGGAGGGGGAGGCGGAGGAAGAGAAGATGGAGGAAACAAATGAAAAACAAAGAGGATTTGATCCTTGTCCACTTCACTTTAACTCCAATCTTACTATAGATATGATTTGTGTCCAGTTCACTGTAATGCATAATGTATATCTACTATTTCCTACCTCACCGTAGTCCAAGTTACGTACCAAACATTTAACGGAACTGTTCTGAAGGTGAAAATCCTAAACTTATATCGGGATAAAAAAAAAATAAAATAAAAAAAAATAAAAAAAAAATAAAATCCAGGGTTTTTGTATAAAGTGTGTATTGAATCAAACCTAAATAATTTTGTGTGTTTTACATATTCACTTAGTTAGCATCTTTAAAATCGTTCATTTATGCTTTTAATTTCCAGTGAAATTAAATTTTTTTTTTCTCCGCAGCATTTTTTATAGCCCAACTTCTCATATAAATCCTTTCAAATAAAAATGATAATACTTACTTAGTGATTTCAATTACATAAAGCCTTTTTCTAATGACAGAATATCACTGGTCTTTTGCCGTTGACTTTAGTGTATGTTTAACTTTGTAGTCAATTCTGTTCAACGTTATATAAACGCCGCCTATCTGATCCGATGACGAGAAATGTTATATTCGTTCAACAGAAATGCTTCGGAAATACGTGATTTAACCCATTCGTCCCGGGTGTCACATATATGAGACACAAGGAAAAATAAAACAGTTTCGGGCTGCCCGCCAGTGCGATGCTGTCGGAGCCGTGCTCCGCGGCAAAAGCGGCGGCGGGCCGCGGCGGACAGACTCCGGGGAAGCTCTTAAGCTTGAAATAAAATCAACATGCAATCAATTTTATTCTAGGCTAAATTATGCATAATTCTTTCTTTTCACTTGATGGGATTGAGATTTTCTTCTTCACTAATATTAATTATGATAACTATGGAAAATGATCAGTTATTACATGAAAGCATTAATCTATTAATCTATCAGTTTGTTTCTGTCGATCTATCTGTCTATTTATTTGTGTCGATCTACCAATGTATATATCTATCTGTCTAATTGTATCTATCTACCCACATAGCAATATATAGATATATCTATCTATCTACGTATCTCTATCTAAGTATATCTATCTATCCGTTTATCTATATGTTTATCTATCTATCTATTACATATCTACATATATATATATATATATATATATATATGTATGTATTTATGTATATATGTATATATAAACATTTCGTTTTATAGATTTTACCACACACACACATACGAACACACATTTATGTAATCGTGCCACCTTTCTCTCCCATAACATAGAGAGATAGATAGATAGATAGATAGATAGATAGATAGAGAGAGAGAGAGAGAGAGAGAGAGAGAGAGAGAGAGAGAGAGAGAGAGAGGAACATTGTTAGAGAAATTAACATTCAGAATGTTATATATATAAAATACTGGAAATTATGCTTTTACAAGATGGAAAAATAGAAATACGAAGAAAATGTGCAGAAGTGTGGGTAAGGCTCGTATACTCCCATTGAAAACCCATTGCGCTTCAAAAGGTATTATAATCATATTGACATTTCTCTATTTCGGATATAGTTCCATACTCTTTATAACATTATTCCAGATCTAACCTTTTTCCCACTTATTGCGAACAATATTACGGTCCTGCAGTTTAATGCAAATAAAAATCAGTTTGAGCACACATGTGATCTGTTGGTGTAAAGTTTGACTCACTGCATTATTAATGCAGTGAGTTAAACTTTGTATTATACATGATTTTCTTTCTTTTTTATTTATTAATCAATTTATATTGGTTAAAGAGGCCTTTGGTTTATAGGTAGACAGTAATGAGATGATGTTTATATATTCCCACATCTAAAAATACTGAAAGACACACACACACACATAAACATACACATTCACATACGCACACGTAAGCACTGTGTGTTGTACGCGAAAGACGAGAAAAAATAGACAAAGAAAGCAAAAAAGAACTTCACATAACAAAGAAAACCAAGAAAAACGAATGCAAAAAGCCCCCATTTCGGAAGGACGTTCCACGCGACCCGACCCGACCGCACCTTGGACACGGTAAAGCACTCTCCATTTCGCCCCCTGGTTTTACGACCTTCCTCCCGTGGGTTATTTGTCCTAATTCAACAACGCCATTTCTTTGCTCCGCCCCCACCCCCCCCCCCCGCCCCACAGCCTGACCTTCCCCTGGCCAACGAGCCGAAGACAGAGGAGGTTAGTGTATCGCTGTGTCTTTGGCAGAGACCCTTCATCGGTTGGTATAAGAGACCTGCTACGAGGGAGGTGTTTATCAGTACATTGCTTCGTCTGACACAGGGAGGACCTCGGGAAACTACCTCACGATGAGATCTATGGTTTGTGCTTTTATTTAGTTATTCATATCACTAACCTTCAACATTGTTATACTTCACTTTCCTGAAAATCCATGAAACATATTGAATAACTTCGAAACATTACTATTTATGCGAGAAACGGTATATGTGACCAATGTATGTGTTCCTTGTAGACACTATTTGTACTCCTGGTCGCGGCCGTCCTGGTGACAGCTCGGCCAGACGTCCTGGACTTCGAGGGCGAGGATCACCAGCACCAGCAGGAGGGAGACGCCGGGGAGCACGTGGAAGGATCCTACAGGTCAGCGTGACCAGATAGGATGTTGTGAAGAGGAAATTCTATTTTCATCTTATTTTCAGCTTTGATATACGTACTGAAATGGGTGTATGGACTGTAAATGTAGCATATCAATTTAATTAATCTAGAAGTTTGATATAAATTCCATAGAATGGCATATCTAACAACAATCCGGCATTTAATCATGGATAAATCTATTGTGATAACAAAGCACAGATCTAATGCAACGTTTCACCATCTCCATATCCTCCTACAGCTGGACGTCCCCCGAAGGCGAGGAGTTCCACGTCCAGTACGTGGCCGACGAGGACGGCTACCGGGTGCTGGAGTCGAACGCCGTGCCCGTGAACCACGACGGGATGGCGGCGGACGGCAACCAGGGAGCCTTTGGGGAGGAAGAAGGAGATGGAGGAGAACGATAAACATCGAGAAGGATGAAGAACGATGAAAACAAAGCGAGGGGGCAGAGAACAGAGGAGGAAGAACACAAAAGGAGAATAAAAGGAACCTTTTTTATGATACTTGTTTCTAAAATCCTTATGGTGGGACAGTGAAGATACCTCTCTGCTGTGTAGACCGATATGTTAATAAAACTCTAGAATATATTCCCTTCAAAAGTTGCCCAATTGCCCGAGATTCCACGTGCACTACATAACAGAATACATCTTATGTATCAGTCCTGCTCTACAGACTTATACTACAAAGCTTGTCTGCTATCGACAATTATCTTAACAGGATGGTAACAGGGTATTCTATTGATTAAATCGGAAGTAATGATATATGAAAAATACATTTTGAAACAATGAAATAGCACAAAAATAGAAGCAAAGTACAAATATATACGTTCCTGAGAAGAAAAAGTCCAAGTAAAAGGATCAAATGGAGAAAACTACTACAATCTGCAATATACAGCTGTATTTGATAAATGAAAAATAAAGAAATTCGACCTACAGCAGGGATACATTTAATCTGTTCTTCCTTTCACTTTAATACCATCCTTATAACACATAATAATTGCTTAATGTGCTATTATTACAACTAGAAAATGGATATCAATTGCTTTGTATATTACAGTAATTCTTTTTGTATGTCAGACATTCCAACGGGACTGTTCTGGAGGTGTGAATTCCGAGCTACATGTCTGATATTACACTTAAATCGAAATTGGAAAAAAAATCGCCATCTCTTTAGACTCAGGTCACCCAAGTTTTGCGTAAAGGTCCTATCACACAAGTACCTTTTCCTTAATTCTTTACGTCTCCGGGTGAATTTAAGTCTTTGTGCATGGATCGCATGCATGTCGAACGCCTCCCAGACGAAGACGAAAGCGACCATTTCCGTCCTGAATTTGTGATATGAATGATATATACAATTAGCGAAAAAAAAAACTGATAAACGGGAAAAGGTTAATTTAAATATGAGCTAATATTCGAAAATATTTCCACATACAGCATAGTAGTCTCCTTTACATAACTATATTTCTCTAAAATAATGCGTTATGTATGAGAATGCTCGTGTGATTACCGGGAGCTCACTCAGATGGCGCCATGTTTGCTCACACGGGGTCTATGTTTGCTAACCTGGTAGTAGTGGTACTCTACCTGTGTGACAGGCTCAGACCATTTGCATGCGGGGCGTTCATACGGAAAAATGACGGAAATTTATGTATATATATATATGTGTGTGTGTGTGTGTGTGTGTGTGTGTGTGTGTGTGTGTGTGTGTGTGTGTGTGTGTGTGTGTGTGTGATGTACATATATATACGCACACAAATATATGTATATATGTGTGCGTGTGTATGTGTTTATTTATTCATATATATATATATATATATTATATATAGATAGATAGATAGATAGATAGATAGATAGATAGATAGAGATAGATAGATATATAGATATATACATGTATGTATGTATGTGCATATATATACATGTATAAATGAATATATCACACACACACATATAGGCCTACATGTACATACACATACATGGTTAGTATTAATATTAGCAAACGCTAGTCTCATTACTCTTTGGAATCAGTGAATAGGCATATGCACCTTGCCCCACAATCAGCAACACTTCAACCTTAACCTCAAATAAACAGCACAATGCTTCTTTTATTTTTCCTTTGTAATGTCGACCATATATGCCCTGAAATAAGCAGTATTTTCTCTCTTTCGCAGTCTGCCCTTGACCTTCCCTGGTCAACGAAGCAAGGAGGAGGAGGTCAGTCAATCGTAGTGCGTCGAGCGGAGACTTACTTGCTTCGCCTATAAAAGAACCGGCGCTTCTGGGATCCGTCAGAGCGGTCTTTTGCCTCGTACGGGAAAGGTCTACTGTTGGGATCTCATTGTCGGTTTTGCTCAGAAGAATCGGGCTTAAGATGAAGTTTGTGGTGCGTGTCGGTGCTTTGTTGTATATTTTTTGATTGTTAATGTTGATAGCTTTCTTTACTGATGTTAATACCTCATTTTGTGGTGCGTGTCGGTGCTTTGTTGTATATTTTTTATTGTTAATGTTAATAGCTTTCATTTTGATTATCACCGTTGTATCATTATCATAAATTTTACTTCAACCATTATCATTGTCACTATAATTATTACAGTATTATCATTAATTATTACAGTATTATCATTAATTATTACAGTATTATCATTAATTATTACAGTATTATCATCAATTTTGTCACTACCGCCTATATATCATCATGCTATTCATCCCCATTGCCATTCCTATCCCACATCAAATCCGCCACGTGTTGACATAAAGATAAACACAGCAAACCAACAACATCCTCTCCCAGGTGGCGCTCGCAGTCCTGGCCGTGGCAGTCCTGGCGTCGGCTCGGCCAGACGTCCTGGACTTCGAGGGCGAGGATCACCAGCACCAGCAGGAGGGAGACGCCGGGGAGCACGTGGAAGGGTCTTACAGGTCAGAAGGATGCCATTTTCGAGAGAGGCTTTTAAATATGAGAGATTTTATGCTCGTTTTAGAGTTCTAAGAATGTCGCTTTGATCATAATGTTGGGAGGAATAATACTTTAAATGTCTCGTAGGCAACGATACTGACTCCAATTATCTAGTGAAATCATCTTGATAAACATGAAGAAGTAGACCTGATAACAAACCAACGTTTCCCCATCTCCATATCCTCCAACAGCTGGACGTCCCCCGAAGGCGAGGAGTTCCACGTCCAGTACGTGGCCGACGAGGACGGCTACCGGGTGCTGGAGTCGAACGCCGTGCCCGTGAACCACGACGGGATGGCGGCGGACGGCAACCAGGGAGCCTTTGGCGAGGAAGAAGGAGAAGGAGGAGAACGATAAACACCGAGAAGGGGTGAAGAACGATGAAAAGAAGACAGAAAACGGAGGAGAAAGAACAATAAAGGAGAATAAAAGGAACCTTTTTGTATGACAATTTTGTCTAAAATCCTTATGGTGCGACATTGGAGAGGTCCCTTTCTGCTATGTAGACCGGTATGTTAATAAAACACCAGTAATATATTCTCCTCAAAAGTTGTCTAATTCCAGTGATTCCAAGTACACTACATAACAGAATATATCTTACATATCAGTCCTTTGCTAAAGACTTACACGACAAAGCTTCTGGGCAATCGACAGCAGAGATTATCTTAACTTAATCTGTATTATTATCTTAACTTAATCGGCAGTATCATATGGAAAATAAATATTGAAGCAATGAAACAGCACAAAATTAGAATCAAATTACAAATATATACGTTCCCGGGAAGAGTCAAAGTGAAAGGATCAATTGGAGATCGGTTACTTCCGAGAGCAAGAAGGGAGAAAACTACTACAATCTGCAATATACAGATATATTTGATAAACGAAAAATAAAGAACGACATAAAGCAGAGATACATTTAATCTGTTCTTCCTTTCACTTTAATACCATCCTTATAACATACAATATTTGCTTAATGCGCTATTATTACAGCTTTATAACGGATACCAGTTCTTTGTGCTGGAGATGTGAAATCCGAACTACATGTCTGATATTACACTTAAATCAAGATTAGCAAAAAATCGGCATCTCTTTCGTCACTGGTCACCTAAGTTTTACGTAAAGTTTCTATCACACAAATAACTTTTCCTTAATTCTTTACGTCTCCGGGTGAATTTAAGTCTTTGTGCATGAATCGCATGCATGTCGAACGCCTCCCAGACGAAGACGAAAGCGACCATTTCCGTCCTGAACTTGTGATATGAATTACGTATACAATAAAAAAAAAAAAAAACAATCCCATAAATGAGGTAAAAGTTCATCTAAATATGAGCTAATATTCGAAAATATTTCTATATACAATATAGTAATCTCTTTTACACAACTATATTACTCTAAAATAATGTCTAAGAATGCTCGTGTGATTCTCGGGACCTCACTCGGATTGCGCCAAGTTTGCTCACACGGGGTCTATGTTTGCTAACCTGGTAGTAGTGGTACTCTACCTGTGTGACAGGCTCAGACCATTTGCATGCGGGGCGTTCATACGGGAAAAAATACGGAAAAGTGCTAGCGTGATAGGGCCTTAGAAAAGCAGTGACACACAAAAAACTTATTATATTCTCTCTCTCTCTCTCTCTCTCTCTCTCTCTCTCTCTCTCTCTCTCTCTCTCTCTCTCTCTCTCTCTCTCTCTCTCTCTCTCTCTCTCTCTCTCTCTCTCTCTCTCTCTCTCTGGAAAAACTGGTGTTTTACGCGGTTTGCTTATTCAGTATTTCGATGCTTATTCTTTAAAGCCTTCGTTATATTTTCGGGTTGCATTTAATCTATTTCTCTTTAATTTCATTTGTAGCTCGATTACCTATGTAACCTATGAAAATTTTAGATGAAAAACTTGATAAACATTTTTCTAGACAAAGAATATCATAATGCGTATCACTGTTTTATATCATCATTTAATCACCGCCCTTCAAGCCTTAAACCAAAATTTGATACTTGAAGCCTGAAACCTAGTAAAGCCTGTTGCAGACGCATTTTTCAGCGTAAGTGCATTAAATCTCAGACTTTAAAAAGAGACCATGTTTATTTTTCTTCCTTAAAAAATAGCCTCGCCGTCAATTCGCCGTACTAAAACCCACAATGCACAAACTAGATTTATATCAATAAATCTACTTTGTAAATTTTGAGTTTTTCAATCATCTCTCTCTATATATACATATATATACACACACACACACACACACACACAACACACTTATATGTGTGTGTATGTTGTGGAGTAGGGCTAAGAGTGACCTTTGTTGGTTCCACCATGGTACCGTGCCCTACCATATAACTACTAACACGTAGTCACACAAAGCGCGTGCGTGTGTGTGTGCGTGAAAGACGGAAAAAATACAACGGTGCAAAAAAGTACTATAATAACGACAAAAACAACGTATATTTAAAGAGTTCGAACTTCACAAGGACGTTCCACCTGACCTGACCCCACCGAACCGAGCCACGCTGAAGTTTTCCCCTCATATATAACGGCCTTCCTGTCATACCTCTATAGTCCCGAATAAACAACGGTATCCTTCTTTCTTTTGTTTTTCTTTTCCTCTTCTCCCGCACTCTGACCTTCACTTGGCCAATGATCCGAAGATGAAGGAAGTTAGCGTATCTCTGTGTCTCTGGTGCGGTTCTTCGCTCGGTATAAAAGACCTGCTATGAGGGAGGTGTTTATCAGTGCATTGCTTCGGCTGACACAGGAAGGACCTCGGGAAATTGCCTTACGATGAAAGCTATGGTTTGTATCCTTTTGGAAGCTGCTGACGTTTTAACATTTTTCATCTCGGTTAAGGTTTATCAAATAATTTAGACAACCTCGAAACACCATTACCAATTATGCGAGGAAGGGTGAAAGTGACCAATGTTTCCTTGTAGACATTATTCGTACTCTTGGCTGTGGCAGTCCTGGCAGCTGCTCGGCCAGAAATCCTGGACTTCGAGGGCGAGGATCACCAGCACCAGCAGGAGGGAGACGCCGGGGATCACGTGGAAGGATCTTACAGGTCAGTATGACTTTAGGAAGGATGCGAAAAAGATATAACATCTTCAAATTTTGCTATCACCTCTGAAACATATTTTGAATCACGAGGAGGTGGGATTACGTATCACATAGGTAATAGATTAATATACTGTAATTAGGCTAGAAGGGATTAATAAATACCATAGCGTGATACATCTAACAACAATCCAATCTTTAATCATGGATAATTCTCCAATATTCATGAAAAAAATTTCCATACAGCTGGACGTCCCCCGAAGGCGAGGAGTTCCACGTCCAGTACGTGGCCGACGAGGACGGCTACCGGGTGCTGGAGTCGAACGCCGTGCCCGTGAACCACGACGGGATGGCGGCGGACGGCAACCAGGGAGCCTTTGGGGAGGAAGAAGGAGAAGGAGGAGAACGATAAACAGAGGAAGAAAAGGAGAAAGAATTAATAGGAAGGAAAATATGGAGAACGATAAGAACAGGGAAGAAAAAGAAATAGTGGAAGGCGGAGAACTGTGTGAATGGAGGAAGAGGAAGGCAGAGAACGATATGAATCTAGATAGAATGATAATAATCTGAAATTATCATAGCTGCTGAGTTGTATCAGTGCTATGTAGACCGTTATATCAATAAAATATTAAACATAAACTCTCTTTCTTGTTTAATGATAAAAATAAAGGACAAAAATTGACCGATTACAAAATGAGCATTATATCACAAGTAATCACAGTTTACGCCAAATACTTTAAATATAACAGGTTCATTCCTGGAAATGCCTAGCACACAACGCTCCTATACTGTAATTGCACATGTTAAATGAAGAATATGACCTACGAGAAACAGACATACTATGGGTCACAACTTGATAATACTATGGCCTTCTCATTCCGGCAGTAGAAATGGTGCAAGGAAGCTTAGTATAACAAACAAAATAATAATACAAAGACAAAGGAGCACACAAAACAAAATGTATGGAGTCAGGAAAACAGTAACCAGATAACAAAAGCAAGGATCGATCAGGAAAAAGGAGAAGTTTAGTGACTGAAAGAATACACGGAATATACTTATTTTCTATCTCTTTGTTGAATAATAAAAACAGGAGAAAGAAGAAACTTGGACTTTTAAAACAGGATTTGGAAAAAAAGAGGGAAGGAAAACAATGGAAGAAATATCAAATAGAATATTAGCTTATCATTGACTGGATATTTTGATTATTTATTTATTTTTTTTTTTTATCGATGTATTTGAAAATTACAATTCATATTAAAAAGACAAAAACAAATACACAAACAAAAGAAAGATAATAGAAGAAAGAGAAATATACAACAAGAAGAGAAATCGTTAGGAAACCTGCAGGTGTAAATCCTTACCGCACGGACGCAGCCTCCGGAGACACTCCAACACTAGCCGGGAGTGTTGGGGTCGGCGGTCAGCGCGTCGAGATTGAGCTGAAACCCCGAGCACCGAGTCGACTCAGGCTGTGATGAGCCGCACTTTCCTCAGTCACTTTCTTCTACTTGTAACGTTTTCGTCCGTGTCTGCGGATTATTTTTTGTGCCGATAGCTACAATTTTTTATCACCTTTAATCGGCGCTAGCTTAGTGCGCCCATACCGTAAAGCTTAACGGACATGCGGAAACTATGTATCTATTATCTAAAATTTATTTGACTTGACCGACGAATGTCTGTACAAATTTACAAACACCAGACATATTCTCCATTATATATATATATATATATATATATATATATATATATATATATATATATTATAATATATATATATAATATATATATATATGCATGTATATGTGTATATATATATATTATATATATATTAATATATAATATATATATATATATATATATATATATATATATATATATATATATAGCTATATAAGCTATACATGTGTATAAGCTTTTATACAGATATACAATGGCTCGAGTCATAAAAATAGATAAATGGATGTGTATATATGTGTGTGTATCTATATGTATGTATATATATATATATATATATATATATATATATATATATATATAATATATATACCTATATACGTGTGTGTGTGTGTGTGTGTAGATAGACAGATATAGATGTCAATATACTTGTATAATTTTATGTATTAATATTTATATATCTATATAGCTCGTTTCCATATCTATATCTAAATGAATATGTATACCTATATCTATTTAATCTATCTATCCATGAAACATGTATGTTAATGCAATTGTGTTTACGCGTGTATGTTTACGTGTGTGTTTGACGAAACAATTGCAGTAGCGAAAGGGGAAAACACATTAAATACCAGATAAAAAAGGTCACCAAAGTACCAAGGAAGTCATAATCACGTCCATCGACTCAGTGACCTTCA